CTCACCCTCTCACCCTTTCTCTCTATTTCTCTCTCTCCCTCTCTCTCTCTTTCTGTCTCTTTCTGTCTCTCCTTCTCCCTCCATGTAACTCTTTCAAACAAACAAATACATCTTTTAGAAAAACCAAAGGAAAACACACATGAGGTGTGTGCAGGGAGACAGAGTTGAGGAGAGAGGGAGACAGACCTCAGATGGCTGTCTTCAGCCCAGTGAGAGTGCACCAAATCTGCACTCAGTCATACAAACACTTGTCCACTGTCTGCTAGGATCAACAGCAACCTGTGAGTTCTGAAGCCCATCCTTGGGGAGTGGGACCCCTACAAATGTTTACTTCCTTAGGTGCTCTTCCTGAGCCCTAGGACACCTATTGGAATTCTCTATACAAGAGAGTTACTCTTCTATCATAACTTAATAACTCTTTGTTACACTGTCCTAATCAAACTATTTTCTGGCTTCCTAGATGGCCCAAACTGAGTGATTATTTTCTCTTCATGCTCATTTTATTTGTATTTCTTGTACAAAAGTTATTAATAGCTGATGGTGCTTTCGCATAAAAAGTAAAGCCTCCACATGGTAGGGTCTGCATCACATATGGTTTGAGTCATGGCTGCTGCACTTCTGATCCAGTTTCCTGTGAATGGCCTGGGAAAAGCAGCAGAAGACAGCTCAGGTACTTGGGCCCCTGCACCCACATGGCAGACCAGGATGAAGCTCCTGGCTCTGGACTTCAGCCTGGCCAAACCCCAGCCATTGCAGCCATCTAGGGGTGAACTAGAGGATGGAAAGTCTCTTTCCTTCTCTCTCTGTATCTCTGCCTTTCAAATAATTAACATCTGTAAGAAAAGTGTTACTAATATCCACTCTGAAGGAATTCAGGAAATGAATTACCACTTGCTTTACCAAAACAATTTAGAATCATGGTTCCACAAAGTTGGATCATCATCAGGTTTGCTCAGCAATTACGATGTACCAGGTCTAAAATGAGGGAGAACACGTCCAACCATCATTTCTCTCTTATGGATCACCTCAGTCCTATGGCTGATCAGTGATTAGCAGGAATAAGGTTTTTGTTGGCTCAAATGATCCATTATTTAAATGGGAAACAATTCACATGCAACAGTAACATAGTTGAACTTCCTGTTATCCCCCCAACCAGCTGACTCCTTTCCTGTTGCCAGCCATCATTTATACACAGTAAGGGCTGCTCCATGTCTGTCCAGTCACAGCTCCTTCCCCTGGATGACTACATATGAACTGTACACTCTCCTGGGACACATCAGGGCTAACGGCAGAGAGAAAAAACTGAGATGCATCCATGGGGAACGGGAGCCTGCAGGGATCAGCCCAATGCATTCAAAGGGGCAAGGAATGACACTGGGACAGGCTCATGCTCAATATCAACTTCTGTGCTTCCTTGAGGAGTGTCAGGTTGATCATTTCTATTCTCCACTAAGTACAGTCATCACTAACTCCAGAGATTACAAACCAGTCATGATAGGGAACATGGACATGACTGAAATGTGGACACACTTGGCCCTCCCCTGGGGTTCTCTCCATGGCTGGCAAACTCAGCTGTGCACAGGGAACACAGAGGCCAAAGAACCATGGACCTGCCAGGCTGACAGGCCAGCCTGTCATGGAGATAAAGGGAGGGTCTTCCTGACCGGGGCTGCAGTCAACATAAAACTGATGGGGAATAGGAATGTTATACCCATTTGTTTTGTTCCTCTCCCTTCACTGACAAAGCTGTCCTCGGTCTCTGCAGTAGTGAAGGGAAAACCTTGGAAATTACTCTATTTCTGCTTAAACAAATTAGAAACAATGGCATTCTCCAAGGAAGAGGAGGAAAGTCTCCAGCGATCTTTCCTCAAACAATCTCACCTCACAGGTATTCTTGTCGGTGGATCTGGACCACGGCACGAGGGTAAACACCACTGAGAAGAACATGGAAGAGCGGCACTTGCAAATGTCAGGAGAACTGTGCACATCAGAGAGCTGCAGGGGACAAATAGTCTGCAGATGAATCAGCACAAGATGTGAGATCCCTCTGACTGCACATACACAGGCCACGCCCTAGGGGAGGAAAGACTGTGGAACTGAGCTCCCACGCAACCAAGCAATTGACTTCCAGGTGACCTCTGAGGGTACAAGGTCTCAGTGGACACAGCTCCATGAAAATGAGTTGAAAACTGCACAAAGGTGCACCACTGTAGGACATGAGCCAAAACACCAAGATCAGTTAGATGTGCGCTATGTGGTTTGCTTCACAGAGCAACAGAGAAGGAAAATGAGCAACCTCCTGAGAGTTTTTAGTCTCCCACACTGTCCAGAATGCCACGGAGCAGTACACAACAAAACATAGAGATGACTAGGACAGTCTGATCAGCTCTCAAAGAAAAAGACCACTGATTGGCACTGAACCTGTCCTCATAGAGGAATGACTAGGGACAGCATCTCCTCTAACCATTTCCAAAGAAGGAAAGGCAAATGCTCTTGAAATTGATGGAAGAAAGTGTTCCGAGCAGACGAAGAATTACATGAAAAACACAAGCTGGAAATGTCAGGCCTGAACGTACAACATACCTATCAAACTGCAATGGATGGGATGGCGCCGTGGCTCAACAGGCTAATCCTCCACTTTGCGGTGCTGGCACACCGGGTTCTAGTCGCAGTCGGGGTGCCTGATTCTGTCCCAGTTGCCGCTCTTCCAGGCCAGCTCTCTTCTATGGCCCGGAAGTGCAGTGTAGGATGGCCCAGGTCCTTGGGCCCTGCACCCAATGGGAGACTAGGAGAAGCACCTAGCTCCTGGATTTGGATCACCACGATGCGTAGGGCGCCAGCCATGGCAGCCATTGGAGGGTGAACCAAGGGCAAATGGAAGACCTTTCTCTCTGTCTCTTTCTCTCTCTCACTGTCTACTCTGCCTGTCAAAAAAAAATGCAATGGATTGAATCAGGGCCAGAGTGTAGAAAAAGAGGAAGGATCAGATTACATGCCAATCAACAGAAAGGTACAAGTTGAAGAACAAAGAGAAGGGAAGAAGCTGGAAGCTAAATGAATGGAGCCTCAGAGATGTGTGAACCAGAGCAAGAGTCCTAATGTTTGGGAGCCTGAAATGGGGGGGGGGAGAAATGGGGGAGCAGTGAACAACAAAATCTATAAAGAATCCAATGGCCAGGAAGATCATCCTTTTAGGAATACAATCCAAGTAGCTCAGAAGCATTACAGGGACATGTGAACAATCCACAAAAAAAAGGGGGGGGGGAGAATCTTGAAATCAGAGCCAATGGCACACTCCCAACAAGGGAATACCCACATGAGAGGGTTTGACTTCTCATCAGAAAACACAAAGTCCACAGGATACTAGAACCCTGTCCTCCAAGTGCAGAAAGAAAAGATCTCCCAGGATTCTTGAGGGAACCAAGACACCCTGAAGGATCTCAGCCCCCTATGCAGAAAAAGGAAGGGTGGTGGAGAAGAAGGAATACTAAGAGCAGTCATCAGAAGACCACTTGCCATCAAAATAGCACCAAGTGAATGGAATTCTTCAGGCTAAAGTGAAATCCTGCCCACAGGAAGTCTGGTACATCAGGAGTAATGAAGAGCAGGAGAAACGTTAAGGATTTAAATCACTGCTGGCTGTGTTTTCGCCCTTAAATTCTCTAAACGACATCTGCAGAACCCAAAACAGAAAGCACAGACTCAGAGGGTGAGGCTCTGTTTGTACAAAGGTCACACCAAGGGGAACAGTCACAACAGAGCAGAAGGTCAAAGAATCGTGCGGCCCTAAGGTTTCATTACTCTGCCGAACAGGAAGAAAAGGGACTCTAATCAGATGGGAAAAGCAACAGGACCCACAGTGCTATGCCCAGAACAACTGAAACACGAAGACACGCTCTAGAAAAGCTGGATGTGGGCCGGCATCATGGTGCAATGTGCGATCCCACACCCTGAGGCACTTGCAGCTCCCTGCTAATGTGCCTGAGAAAGCAGCAGAGGATGGCCCAAGTCCCTGCGCCCCTGTACATGTGAGAGACATGGAGGAAGCTCCTGGCTTTCTCCTGACCTGCCCTGACTGTGGTGGCAACATGGGGAGAGAACTGGCAGATGGAGGATCATTCTCTAATTCTGTCATTCAAATAAATTAAAAAAAAATTTTTTTTAAATAAGAGGATGAAGTTGGGTCACCCCAGGATCTAGATCTGGGAATGGAGCAGCAACAGATTGATAAACAGGTCTTTGTGGAAATCCAACTTGGCGTTTCCCCAGAGAACTCGCAGGAATGGAATCTCAGTTATATGGTCAGCATGTCTCTCCCAGCCTACCTGGCCCAAAACTATGCTGCCAGCACCTCAGGCTCTGAGGGGCACATGCATTTCTGCCCTGAGGGCTCTCTCCTCAGTGTTTCCAGGACAAGGGAAGGAGGACCCACACTGGGTGACACCAATGCGGCCATAGCCTACAGGACCTGCTTGCCAAGAGACCGCTCCTAGCACTCACCCACCTGAGGGTCAGGGATCGGGCAATGGGTCCTGCCCAGTGCCCTGAGGGCTCTAGGCCCTGGAAAAGCACTGAGGGGGCCACTGCACTACCAACAGCTCATGATGCTCAATACAGACACCCTCTGCCCTCAGTAAGAGCCTGGAGGGACACAAGAGTCCAGAGGGGATCGGCAGCCTTTGCTGGGGCCACTTCCTCCCATGTCATCTGCACAATGTGCCACTCCTAAGGCCATCTTGGCAAACTCCACCCCTAGCCTGGGTCCTGGACACACCCATCTCCAGGCCCTGCTCTCTATGATGCGCACCCCTAGCAGCAGGTTCTGTGACACGTGCCCATTCTGTGACCACTAAGGTTCTGCAGATGTGGCATTTTGGCTTTAGCCCTTCGGAGCGATAGCAGCCAAAAGTGCTTTGGGAAGTCTTCATAGCATAGAGACTCACCAGCTTCTTTTCAAAAACTTTGGGGAGCAAATTTTGCCCCCCTCACCTGCCCCAGCAATGGGGGCTGACCACCGACCTAAGGGGCCCCCAGGCCCAGGTCGGGGTCACACTCCCGCCTCTGGCCCTGGACCAGTTGGTCCACGGGCAAAATACCATAGGTCTTACAGACCAAAAGTCAGACAATCCAGTCTGATGATAAGAAAACTCAGGGCCATCGTGGCACTGCTGACCACTCTCTGCGGGCTTCAGACTCGACAACGCGTGTGCTCCAACAGAGTGAACATCGGTAAGGCCAGGATGCCACCACCCCGTAGGCTAGGTAACCTGATCATCATGGAAATCTGAAAGCCTTGTAGGGGAGGTGTGGTAGAAGTGCGGGGAGCACGTGTGTGTGCAGTGCTGTGGTGCAGTGGGCTCAGCCACTGCCTGCAACACCAGCATCCCAAAGGAGTGCTGGGTTGAGTCCCAGCTGCTGCACTTCCAACCCAGCTGCCTGCTAATGTACCTGGGAAGGCAGTAGAACATGGCTCAAGTACGTGGCCATTTTGGAAGGCACTGGTGAAGTGCCAGGCCCCTGTCTGGCCAGCTACCTTGCCAGTTGTGGTGGCCATTTCAGGGTCAAGTCAGAAGATGGAAGCTCTCTTTTGGTTTTCTCACTCCCCAACTCAACCTTTACACATAATACATTTGTAACAGAAAGCAAAAGCACTTTGGGAGGTGATGCTGAGGTCACCCAGGTGCACAGCAGTTCACATCCTTCCTGCCTTTTCCTTTCTAGGACCTGTACTGAGCACGCCTGATCCTACCAGACGAACCGGCAATGGAAGGCGGAGGAAGCAAACCTGCAAAGTACATCATCCAATTATCCAGGATATGGACACTTTACCCCCTGATACTCCTCCACAGGAGGAAGCCATGGACATCTCTCCCCCTATACTCCCCAATGGGGGGTATCAAGGGACACATCACCCCCATATGTTCCCTGAAAGGAGAGAGCTATAAACAACTCATCCCTCTCTGCTCCCCTACAGGAAGAAGCCATGGACACTACTCCTCCATACACTCCACCTCGGGAGGAGGAGCCCATGGACACCACGCCCCCATATGAGCCACCAGAACTGATGGACACCACACCGCCATATGAGCCACCAGAACTGATGGACACCACACCGCCATATGAGCCACCAGAACTGATGGACACCACACCGCCATATGAGCCACCAGAACTGATGGACACCACACCGCCATATGAGCCACCAGAACTGATGGACACCACGCCCCCATAAGAAACATCTTGGGCGGATCCACACCTCCCCATGTTCCACCACGGGAAGAGCCCAGGGATATCACACTCCCAACATTCCACCATGGGAGGAGCCTATTGACCCACACCCTCCTGTGCTCCCCCATGGGAGGAGTCCCTGGACACCACAACCTCCCAAGCTCCACCAAAGGAGGAACCAATGGATACCACAATGCCATAGGCTCCTCCTCCAGTGTAGTGCCTGGACACCACACCCTCCTACGCTCCACCAAGGGAGGAACCAATGGATACCACAATCCCATAGGCTCCTCCTCCAGAGGAGCCCATGGACACAACACCAACCTATACTCCCCCTCCAGAGGAGGCCATGGACCCTTCACCCCCTAGTTTCCAGCATAGTCCATGGAAAGGTCAACCACGTCTCCTGCCCTCTGTTTTCCTCCTGCTGGTCCCAGGGGCAGTTTTATGCCTGGCCTTCCCATCTTTCCTTGCATCTTCATACCCAGTTTCCCAGCACCTATGGATATAGACCCTCCCACGTGACCCTTCCTCCCTCCCCTCCAGGACATGGCACAACTCTGCTCCCAGGCAGCTCCTTTCATGGCCTCCAGCTGGCTCCTCGCCACACAAGAGTCTTATTTAATATTAAACACCATACTCGTTCTGTTTTTTGTGTCTATGCTCTGTAGATCCAGTGTGAGAAATGCTGGCTTGTGTGAGTGCTGACAGGAGGTCAGATCCTAGGGGAAAATGTTCCTGTGGTGCAAGAAACAGGGGCTGGAGGGTTGGGGGCTAGGGAGTAGAAGGAGCCAAAGGCCATAATGACTCCTCCTGAGCAGAAAAAGCTGTGGCTGATGGGCCGGCACCTGTGCCGGCATAGTGGGTGAAGCTGCGGCCTGCAGTGCTGGCATCCCATATGGGTACTGGTTCAAATCCTGGGAGCTCTACTTCTGATCCACCTCTCTGCTATGGCCTGGGAAAACAGTAGAAGATGGCCCAAGTCCTTGGGCCCCTCTACACACATGGGACACCTGGAAGAAGCCTCTGGCTTCTGGCATTGGATCAGTAGAGCTCCAGCCTTAGGAGCCAACTGGAGAGTGAACCAGTGGATGGAAGAACTCTCTTTCCCTGCCTCTCCTTCTCTCTCTCTGTAACTCAGACTTTTCAATATATGAATAAATCTCTAAACGAAGGAAAAAAAAGCTGTGGCTGAACTTAAGGGATGGGGCCCAGGATCAATGAACCCAGGAAGGGAGGAGACAGGAAGGGTCATCCTGGCTATAGCAGCCACCACTTCTCACCTCCTCTCTGAGCTGCAATTGGCTGGATCACTCCTCACACACACCAGCAGTCTACACTCTACACATTCACACCTGGTCCCTTAGGGAAATCTACACTCACAGCTCAGCCAGAAAGCACACATCTGGCATCGAAGCTCACAGGCCACGAAGAACAGAGGAAGAAAACTCATCGCCCCACAATAACCAAGGACAACCGTAACTCTAGGATGTCACTGATTCCCGGGTGATCTGATTGTCAACATGCGGAGATGTCCTCCTTGTTGCTCTTCCATTCAGATCAGGAAAGGGGAAGCAAAGAGACTATTTGCAGGGGAAACAAGCTAAGTTAGAGTCCCATTTTCCAAAAAAGGATTAATTGATTTATATCTTTTAACCCACAAGTACAAAGCATATCAATAGTCACTCCCAGCCATGCCACAAGACAAAAGCTGAACACCTGAAGTCACCAACTCATCTTGTATCCTACAGAAAAGTGAGGTCACTTGCAAAACACACCTTCAGAAATTGCCTTGACTGTCAGATGCAGAGAATCCCAGCTTAACTGAGCACAGGCCTCTGCTAGGGCTCAAATGTAGGTAGGGAACACAGACTGTAATAGGTCAACTGCTGGGGGCACAATGTGCACATGCTAGAGAGGAGAAAACTCCAGGGAGGGGGCAATCTTTTCTAAAAGAAGAGCTAACAAAGTTTTTAAAAACTTATTTTCATTTTATTTGTTAGGAGAGCTGCAGAAAGAGATGGAAACAGCCATACTCAGATCTTCCTTCCTATGGCCCACTTCCCACATGCCTGGAATGCTGTCGTCTTCCTTCTTGCTCTCTCTCACACAAATCAAACCCCAAACCATGCTGCATAACCTGGAAATCTCTAGGAAATACCAAGTCCCACATACATGCCAGTGCAGGTGCATCCTATCAATCTGTGGCCTGGACTTCTCAAGACATCAATCTCATCATAATCAAGTCAGGTCTAAGGAGATAGGCATTGCAGTACAATAGATTTGCCATCTGCTTGGGAAGCCCCCATTCCATATTGGATTTCCTGAGATAGAGTCCCACCATTGCTTCTGATCCAGCTTCCTGCACATGTGCACCCTGGGAGGCCCAGGTGATGACCTCAGTGCTTGGGTTCCTGTCATTCATGTGGGAGCACAGGATGGAGTTTCTGGCTTCAGTCAGGCCCAGCCCCACCTTTGTATCTGGGAAGTGAATTAGCAGATAGAAGGTCTTGAGATCTCATTCTCTCTCTCTCTCTCACTGTGTGTGTGTGTGTGTGTGTGTGTCAGTGTGCATGTGAGTGGGTGTGTCTAACTTTCAAAGTAGGAAATGGATTCTATAAGAAAAACATGAAGAGTCTGAGACTAAATTCTGGATGTAGTGTTGGTACAGAAAACAGACATGTGGGTACAGCTAAGGAATTTGAATAAACTGTGGCCTTTAGTGAATAATAAAGTATCAGTGCAGGTTCACTGATGGCAATAAACACACCACACTAAGGAAAGATGTCTATACGAGCTACTTCCAGCAGTTCCTTTATGAAGGGACTTCAAAAGGTCATGGAAAATGCACATTATGAGTAAACTGACACATGGACTTAAATTCTTTCTGCAACAAGGTAAATTCAGCTTTTCTCTCATTTCCTCCCCAAAGAGTCTGAAGTTATCTCTCCTGGTTTCACATTGTGATCTTTTCCTTGCCACTGGGATGCCCATTCACCAAACCACCTTCAGGGCAAATATCTATCAAGACCAAGGCTGGACCTCTCAGGAGCCACTCCCTGAATTCCTTATCACTGCACATGCATCCCACTCACAGGAATTACTACTGTGCTCAGAGGATTCAACCTTCTCTCTCATACTCCCTATTTTCCAGTCCCTGGAATAAAGACCTAAGGACTGAATGCTTTAAGCCTCGGACAACCGCACTGAATGATCCTGGGTACAGACATAGGGACATGTCAAAAACAAAGCACCACCCAGAAAAGCAAGGGCCTGGCTTCACCAGCAAGACACAAGGAGGTCTTAGCTCAGCCCTTAGCACTCGATTCTGTCCATCGTCCTGAACAGTTTTGCACCTCTGCACATTTGTCCAAACTCATCTCTACCAGGGGACAAACACTGCTCCCCAGAGCACACAGGAAACAACCTGACAGCAGACAACAAGGGCCACACCACAAGGAAGCTGTCATCCCTGAGCAGCTCCTTTGTGTCGAGGCTTTGCCAGCAATACCAACTTCAGTTCCTCCTCCCTCCCACCTCACTGACAGGAGGGTGCAGTTACAAGTTCAGCTGACAGCTAAGAGTATGGATTCCAGACCCCCACCATGAGATAGGTACTTGGTGGCTCTGGGCCTCAGTGTCCCACACGTCAACTGGGGCTACTAACAGTCTCTGCAGTACAAACAGCTGCTGCCTGAGCTCTGCTGCTCCCATTGCTATTCCCATCCCATCCCCATTTGAAAGAGGAAGGAAGGAGAGGTCCTAAGATCCTGGCTCATGGCTTCAGATCGGCCCAGCTCTCACCAGTGTGACCATTTGGGAAGGGAACCAATAGATGGAGCATCTCCAGTGGATGGAGTATCTCAGGATCACCCCCCACCCCTTAATATTACTGTGCCTCTCAGACAAATAAATAAAATCTTTAGACAGAGATCAAGATGCATCTCTTTTGCAGGTTCACCCTGCAAATATCCACAGCAGCCCAGTTGTAGCCAAGCCACAGTCAGCAGACATGAAGGCACTCTGGGTCTCTTACCTGAATCACAGTCAACCAACAGCACCCAGTACCACCTGCTGCCTCCCAGGGTACACATCAGAAGAAAATTAATCAGAAGTGGGACAGGAACTCAACCCCAGGCACTCTGACAAGGGATGTGCATGTCCCAAGCAGCATCGGGTGCTGTGCTGAAAACCTGCCTCTTCCAATATCTGTGAAGGTGACCCATTTTTCTTCAGTAAAGAAGTGGAAGAACTGAGCTGGCACTGTGGCATAGTGAGGAAAGCTGCCACATGTGGTGCTGGCATCCCCTACGGGCACTGGTTCAACATCTGGCTGTTCTATTTCCAATGCAGCTCCCTGCTTTTGCTCCTGGGAAGGCAGCAGATGACAGTTCTGGTACTCGGGCCCCTGCACCCACATGGGAGACATGGAAGAAGCTCCTGGCTTCAGAAAGGCACAATTCCAGCCATTGTGGCCATTTCAGGAGTGAACCAGTGGATGGGAGACTGGATTCTCTCTCTCATTCTCTAACTCTGCCTTTCAAATAAATACATAAATAGATCTACCTATCTATCTATCTTTTAAAAAATACAAACTGGAAGACTCCATGGACATGGCCAAATTGCCAAGATCCTTAGTTATTGAGGAAAGTACTAAGTGTTTGTTTTATTACAAAAATGTCTGGAACTTAAACTACCTTCTATTGACAAAGTATATATTTAGGTGTACCTTTAAATCCCACTGTCCTTGAATTCTAAATTTCCTCATATCACCAGCAGTGGAATTGCTAGGGGACATAACTACTCTATTATTCAGGGGACGATACTACACACATTTATCCACCTGTCTTTGTGCTACTTAGAACTATTCTTGCTGTGTGCATGGTTGTCAATACAAATGTCTCTCCTTCCTCCAGCTACCTTCTTAGTATGCCATTTCCTACATGGATCTTCTTTTTCTAGCACCGTATTACTGAGCTGATGTATTTCATACAGCAACACACACACACACACACACACACACACACACGTGCATGTAAAGCTGGTGAAATCCTGATGAGGCTGAAGGATTTTTAGGGTCAATTTCTACAGAATCACCTGTGTGTTTCTGAAAACAAAGGAGCTGCCAAAGAGAGCAGAACACTCACCAACTCATCTAGCCTATAGAGCTGTCCAAAGCTGATGGAACCTCTGAAGAGAGCAATGAAGACAGAGATCAAAGGCATCTTCACTGGTCGTGGAAGGCACTGGAGAAAGGCAGAATGGGAGAAGCCATGACTCAACCCCATGGGCCAGTGACCCCTGTCCTGCCCCTCCCAGCCCCTTCTCTCCCCCTCCTCCACCTCCTTTGCTCTCCTCAAGATCTTGCACAGGACGTAGCTGCTTAGGTTCTTCACTGTGCCCTCAGCCTCACTGCTGCTCTCATCCACTTTAGCCTCTGCACTTCCAAGTTAGGCTGGGACCATGACATCTCAACATGGGACCCATGTCCTCTGTCATTGTCTGAGGGAGTCCACAGCCCTTTAGCAGCTCCACACACACCTAAATATCTTCTTCGCCTGAGCACTCGGGCCCTTCACTCTGAGAGAGAATTTACAGCATATTCTGACAGTCACAAGCTCCCAAGGGTAGTCAGTTATGTGCTATATCC